AATTTGAGCTACAGCGACTCAAATTGTTTTTCTCGCATTCTTGCAGCTCAAAATTATCCCGTGATTTCCGTTGCATGCTGGTTCCACGGCAACTAAGGGATTCATCTGTTATTCTCAAATGTTTAGGGTTCTCGGAATTTCCTAAAGATAACGTCGCCTTCTAAGCTGTAACTGTCAGCAGATTTATAAAAAAATTCCCAAAGCCTAGAATTGCCGTAAAATTCTCATCAATTCAAATGTGGAATCATCCTCTAATTTATTTTAAACTTGTATCAATTTCTGTATAATATTAAATGTTACTGACGCATTACGTGAGTTTTCTGTTCTTCTCACACATCACCAATTTAGTTTATACCGCTGCTAATGACTGATAAATTCGGCAGACTATTTCTATTCACTTTATTTTCGAATCCACAAGCCTTCATCTACCTATATGAAAAGCATTTAAAAACAAATCTAAGTTTTTAAGATTTTCATGACAAAATTGTTTGATAGAATCAGAGCAATATTTTTATTTTTTTATGTTTTGAATAAACGTATTAGGTTTCTCAGTAGCAAGAACGGAAATGAAATAATTTCGCTTGGATACTACAGTTGAAGTTTTCTAATAACTTTGTAAAACTTGAAATAAACTATTTATCTTTTTTTGGCATTGAGTAGTTTTAGTTTAACATGTTTCATGCATACATTTTACTTGCATAAAATTCATGACACTCGCATCGGCCACGTCACGGCCACTCCTGGCATATTTTATAAAATAGCAGCTGAGCATAAGTTATGCTCAGCTACGTATTTGAAGCAGCGAATCTTCACTGGCTACCAAGCTATTCACACTTATGCAATCAGCAAGGTAAATGTCTGTATATTTGTTATCTCATCATTTGAGCTTTACAAGAACGTAAGTTACGCATATATACACTGCACAGTAGCACAACTAAGTTCCTTAATACCTTCGGCTAAAAGCTCATTTTCGTATAAATGCTGATTAGGGGTAGATGCAAATAAATCTACTATAGCTTCTTTGCAGTGACTTTGTCTGCTGCCGCCATTGATTTACCCTCAGTGCAGCCTCAATGGCCATTTACAATGTTGAATGGTCGGAACGTAATACATATTAAAATGAAAATTGTTCAGACTGTTTCAAACATTCTTTGTTCCCTTTTTGACAAAATGATTCCTTTCATTTACACAGTTTCCTCTCATTTTGCATTTGCTGAATATATAATTTCCTTTCATGGAAATACGCGTAAACAATTACTGTGTAGTTTGTAAGCTTTTAGGATTTTATAACTTCAAATTTCTGATTTAAAACTTGCAATCAATATACTGAATTCATTGAGAATGAACGCCATAGTTAGACGATTACTGCGTACATGTGTACGCATCTACGCACTTAAAAATGTCAGTTAGAACCGTAAAGAAAGACACATGATTTATCGTCCCATCTTACCCTCTGACTGCAGTAAGTTCATACTCAAAGTTAAAGTTTAAAATAAAACCAAAAAGAAATTTTATCTTAAAAAGCCAGTGGTTAATGTTCAATCCAAATTAAAATGTTAAATGCAGTTAGCACTCGCCTAAATAAGCCCTTGTTCGGGCTAACTATTTGTGAAGCAAATGCGACTTGCCGAAGTTAGAGCCGATAAATCAATCCAAGCAGCAGAGAGGCGTACGAGTGTAAAGCTCTCTCTCAAATCAAGAAACCTGTGCTTATATATTTTTTAACTACTTCGCCTTTTGGTGCAAGTTGACGGGTCAAGTGGAAGTAAAGAGAAACTAATAGACTTGATTAATTAATATAAAGTCTCATTCATTATTCTTCATTTCTCAGAGATAAGAACTAAGGAATTACAATCCAACCAATACTCCCTTACGCTCATTTTCAGTATAACAAATGAAGAATATTCTATCACGGAAGTTTCTTTCGTGTATCTTTGTGGCAAATAAAATTTTTTGTGCATTATTTGGACATTATTCGACTATTTTTGAACATTATTCGACATCAACATCATTAATACAAATCTAATGAACAAAATCATATTTACATTTAAAAATGTATATTTTTTTGATGATTCTGCATGTGAAACTGATGATATCTTTAATGTAGGAATCATCGAACAGTAACTGAAGATATATTTTTCGAATGAAACAATGTGAAAAACACTCTGTAAAAAATCTATTGTTCGTTGTAGAATGTGCTCATGAACATACTCTAATGTTCAAAGCCCTTAACCCTTTATGTTTCTGAGTTTAAAATCTGTTAATTTTTAAACCCACTGTAGCTGACCCATGATCCAAGAAAAAAATGCTAGGTTTTAAGAATAGACAACATTATTAGAATATATAACTAAAAGCATTGTTTTCTTCCTCTGCGACCAACATTTTATTAGTATTTTTCCCTACAAAATGAAACGCGAAGCTCTGAACTAATCTATCGAATTCATTAGTCATACCTTTATCAGAAGTATTACATAATCATATCCTGTTAGATGACAGTGATCTCACATAGTTCAAGCGCAAGTAAAAGCACATGCACGCATTAATTTCTTGTTCTACCTATACATAAGAATAAATAAAACATGGTATCATCAATAAATCTATTTATTACTACAACAAATCTGTTTATTACAACAAATCTGTTTATTATTACTTACATTAATGATCTCATTATACAGAAGCTAATTAACAAACATATCATATATTAATCATTATTAATTAAATTCATATATTTGTAAAATTATATATAAATAATTATATTAATTCTACCAATTAAACCCAATTAAAGAAAATTAAATTCCGCATTTTACATCAACCTTTATAATATGCAAAATATAATATCTTATAAACTATTTATTTCTAATATTTTATGAAAGAATTTTAAGCTAGTTTTTTGTTCATTTCCTTAAAAAAGGATTAAAGGTTTTTTCCCCCCTTGAAAATAAAATACCCGTTTTATTTAACCATTAGTTTAAAATTAAACGGTTTTAAAATGATAATGGAATCATTATTTGAAAAGGTACTTGCTACATATATGTTTTCTAACTTATATACACATATGAGAGTATTTGCACCAACTTCCAGATGTTATTGAAAAAACAGACTTCATGGTTACAGATATCGTCAAACTGTTTATAAGGACAAAACGGGAACGTCTCAGGATTTTTTTCTGTCAATTTGAAACAATTCTGACTATCTTTATTCTGTAGACTCAGATTCCTTAGTAAATCCGTCATTCTTGTACTGTTGTATAATATCTTGAGTTCTGTAACTTGATTTCCTGTTTCAGGACCTTGAACACAGCCAAGCCTTTGGCAATTGCACCTGAAATGACATGTCATATTGTTAATAACGTAATCCATTTACAGAAAATAAAGTTTATGTTACAGGCAAAAGGCGTACACGTTTTGTTATGCACTTTATTCTTGTCCCTACTAAGAAACGTTCGAAGGGAAAAATGATAAAATCTTTCTTCTGAATTCGTATAATAAATTCATATATATTCATTCATTCATTCATTTTCATTCATTCACTCCTTATTCTTAACATGGATGTAGATTCCATGTTTAAATGAGTCACACTAAATATTGTTAATATTATATGCCATTATATACGAATTTTTTATTTTAAATTTCTATAAATATTGAGTTCATAAATTTTTAATCAATTCTTAAGGAAATAACATTCTATTGCATCAAAAACAGTCACATATAGAGCGAACTATCATACAAAATACAGTATTAGAATTTTTTTAGCATTTATGTCAAACTAAATTTGTCATAATGTTTTAATAGATTTAGTTTCACAAAACATGCTGAAAGATTTAATACATATTAAAATGAAAATTACCAAAGCTATTTCAACTATTTTTGTGTCGCCTTCCCCCCCCCCGACAGAATGATTTCTTTCAATTACGCAGTTTTCTCTCATTTTGCATTTGCTGAATGTAAAATGTTCTTTCACGGAAATAAATGTAAACAAATACTGAGTAGTCTGTAGGTTTTTATGAACTTAATAACTTCAGTTTTCTAATTTAAATTTAAAAACTTCTATAAAATGTTCTTCCAAAATAATCCCTTTGTTTTTATAAACTTAAGCTTCAAATGAAGTTTTATAAGCTGAAAAGTCACCTTTATGATTATTCTCTGATGCAATTTCTATTCCCGAATTTTAATTGTTAAAACAAATCATCACTGCAAACGTTTTTCGACGATAAATATTGTTGATCTCAAAAAATATTATGCCCCCCGGACGCAGAATAATAGTTAACTTTCTCTATAATAGTTAGAAGAATAGTTACTAGAATAATAGTTCTGACTAATTATTATTCTTTAAACTAAATTATTTTTATCGTGAAGACGATTATACATTTTCTGTAAAATAAGTACCTTACAATAAGTAAACATTATAAAACGTTACGGCTGGTGCTTAAGAAAAAGCTTGTGAGATAACGTAGCAAGTACAAACGATGTAACCCTAATTAAGTTCAATTTATTGATATTAAAAGATCGTCGTGTGAGCTGCAGCATAATATGTTCATTCTATATGGATAATGAAAACGTTTGAACCCGCATGTGATTCTACAAAACGTTATTAAAATAATGAATTGCTTTCTTTGACATCCTACTAAAGTAATATATTCATAAAAATTTTCATTTACGTTTCCAAGCAATAAGGAAAATTCCAAGGATCGTTTTTGGCATTATGGATGGATATGAAAAAATTGATTGAACGCATTGATTCAAACAAAACGTTGATTAAAAAATGAAATGAATTGCTTTCTGCCATCCTACTAAGTATATATAAAAATTTTCATTTACGTTTCCAAGCATAAGCGAAATTCCAAGGATCGTTTTGGCTGTGGTTGCCTTATAAACGACAATTATATTTTATATACCATTATTATATAGCATTGGCAAAAATACTGGTACTTAACAGCTGTAATTGTCTTAAGGAAACGACTGTCGTGATTCATATTAGTAAATTATTTTGCTTCCAGTTCTGAAATTAAATGCCGTTATACAATTTTTGGTAAGAGAAGAAATAACAGTAAGCCATTATTGCTGTCATTCGTTTTCATAATGCCTAACATATTTTTTCATTGCTGATAGCAAAAACTACCGATTAATAAATGTAAAAGCCTAAATTCAAGAAGCAAATTAAGGGTATAAAAACAGAATTTTCAAGTTTTATTTTGAGACATTTTTACTTTCGGGATTTTTTAGATGTTAATGTTATTTGAGACAATGAGAGTTTTTTTTTTTTTTCTGTTTTTAGATTTTTCTCCAACAATACAAATTTCGAAAGTATCAAGCAAATAATTTCGATGCCGATTTCGAATATATTTCTCTGGCGATCATATTGTAAAAATTCACCTGCAAATGCGACCAATATTTCTAAGAGTATAAATTAACTTAGGATATTGAGCATGCCTTCTCTACAAAAGAACATCGCTTTTCATTATTATTAGCCCAGAAGCATTTTACCGAATGGTAACAACTCAAAAACTCTCACGTTTCTCTTTCCCTTTCACTAACCTCTCCGACAGGACCTTTGCTATTCATAGTATTTTAAGTACAGCCATGTTGCAAAGACACTATACATTTTCAAAAATTTGCGCCTTCTCCAAGCTTGTGGCAGTCGACTTCCCTACCACCAAGTTTCAAGGGTTTATTTTTAATTAAAAAATTAAAAATTCTCAAGATCTTTACCTTGATACTTTCAAAATATAATTGAAATTAGCTATTTTTAACGTGAATTTGGTTATAAATAGCGAAACGCAAGCATTTTGATGTTATATATTTGTCTATATATGTGCATTTTACGAACGTATCAGATTGAAATGAAAGCTACCTGTTCAGTTTCATGATTTCGATTAGATTACCGAGGAGCAAATGTGACATATTCATGATTATTCGCTTTTTAAATCTCCTGCAAACATGAAGTTGGAGCTACAATGATGAAAGCTGCCACCTTAAAGCGCCCATACGTGTTCAAACAGATCTTTATCTAATGAATACACATACCATCAGGCTGTTTCTTTATTTTCAGTGTACCACGAAATTATTAGAGAGCAATAGGAGACGAAAATTATCATCAACTGTACCTCTAAAAAGCTACATACAGCTATCAAGAAGGTCCGTCTTATACTTTGATCCGTTATAATTTCCTTAGTAAAGATCTGCAGTTCTGGGCGTCCATTCAAACTTATGCCTACCCAAACAATGACTTCGCTATCATTTATTGACATCGTTTGGCGACATTACCATAATTATTGTGAATGTTAGCCTTCCTACAGATTTTAACACATCCACAATCATTTCCCAAGAAATTTCAGTTAAAAATATCAATTCTCAAGAGTAAAGCTTCTTATATACCAAAACAGAGCACCAAGAAAAGAAACATTCGAAACCCAATTATCAAAATAGCACAAGATAAAATAGCAACAGTTAAATTCACTACTATACCTAGGTATCATGCTTCATAATAGACTTTAATGGCATCAACATATCAAATATATCAAAAATAAACTTCTAATATTATCAAACTCAATAAAAATAACCACAGCAAGAAACTGGGGAATTTCTTCTCAATATCAGAAAATTTGGTATACAACACTAATAGAAAAGATTCTTTTACATGGCACTTCTGCTTGGGGCACAGATCTAAATCAGCATGCAAAAAGACAACCAACTTCAATACAACGGCTTTTTCTGCTATCAATAACAAAAGCATATAGAACAACCACTACTAATTCTCTACCAAATCATTTCAGGTATTCCACCAATTACTCTGACTTTACAGAAAGAAGCCATTAAAAAAAACTGCACGCCTACGACAAACAAATACCTATAATTCTAATATCTATTATCCAACAGAATATGAAGAACTCAAACAAGATGTTTCCACAACTGGGATCCGAAACAGGTCTCTAATGTGAGCCATTGCTTCAGCCTCTGAATTGATATCAACAGATTTCTTCCTTTGTAGCTATTTGAAGGGCAAATTTTGCAGTAAAAGTATTCTGAAGCTTTGCAATTTGAAGCAATGATCACCGGAATTCAACAATGCTTCAATTGAACATGCAACTAAAATGCACGCAATTATATGGTAGCCAAGCATACTTACAAATTGATAGGAAATCAGTTGATTATTACATTGGAATCATTTACAACTGACTTTCGAATGTACTTTTAACTCCATAAATTTATTTCTATTTGTTATAAATAATATTCTATACGACCTCTCTTACCTATATTCGCTTGATAAGTGTGATATAACTACGTCTGTGCTTTTCGATATGTTTCTGTACAATTGTTCTTAAGAGAATCTAAATCACGAATAGAAAATGTTTCACACTGTAATAACAAGGACTTCTCTCTCTACTTTCTTAATCTTGAACTTCTTGTCAACTTATCTTACTCTACTTATGTGTTATCTTGTTAGCAAACTGAATTATAACGGCTGAGCAGAATAGTTAGTACCTGATGCAGGAAAATTCCAGCCTTATTTTTCCAAATGACAGACCTCTATTATTGAAATTAATGACATCAAAAGAAATTTACAAAAAAATTATAAAAAAGCGTGTGTAGCAGATACAGTAACTTAATAATAAGATCCCCTGAACGAAACAGAATATTAAAGACGTGTATGTTGTTGCGTGTTGAGATTTCTCCTTCTGATCTGAAAACTGTAAAAAAACTGTAGTCTAGATCAGGCCTCCGAATTAGGAAATCAGCATGGCCAAGAAGATGGAAAAGAGCCCTATTGCTGTTCAAGGCCATAGGTATATTAAAAGTGATAGTGAGACTTTCGCGTTGCTTCATCACAGTATTTTTGGACAATACCACTGAACTAGATATGCAGCTGTCCTGTTCTTCTCGGTCTACCATAAATTTATCGAAGGCTCTTTTAGCTCAACGGTATTTTAAGTGTCCCTATAATTCGAAGGTATAATTTTACAAAAATACATATCTTCTGTGGGATACGAAACCATATCCACAATATTGCACTAAGCGATATTATAGCATCGCAGTCTACAATATCGAATTGCGCAGGAAACAGATGTATGATATAAGAAAATGCAAATAAATATTAAAGCTAGCTTATTCAGACTCTAAAGAATAAAAAAAAGTAAGTAATTTTTTTTTAGGATCAACAAAATGATTTTTCAGACCTAATTATCTGACACCATTTGTTCGAGCGTTGTACCACAATCAGAGTCCTAATTTAATCTAAACAGTTTAATATGCCGATATATTCCTTTTTGGTGCCAAATAAATTCCCAAAAGGTGCAAATAAACGCTGAAGCAATATCAGGAACT